ACACAATTTGTGCTTTAGTACAGGACCTCTTCTTTAAAATGATGTTGTAACTTTAAAAATACCCTCTGAGATTGTAACCTATTTTCCTTCCTACATAAACAGAAGAATTAAAAAGAAAACAATGAGCAGTTAAAACCTAAAAAGCTTAAAAATGTCTACTGATTAAGTTACTCATTCTTTTTTAAGTACATGCTGTATGTTCAGCTCTGTGTCAGTTGTTCTGGAGAGACCAGAGATGCTTAACATAGTTCTTTTTCCTTGAGTTTACAATGAGATCCTTCAAGGAACAGTAATTTCCCCTCTCCCCCATTTCTATCCTGCCTGGAAATCATGGACCATCATGGATATTCCTCCTCCATTTAAAAAAAATATTTTTTAAAATTTTTTAAAATCTTTTTTTAAAATTTTATTATTTTGTGTGTGTGTACTGTCAAATCAGATCTGACTGGTACAGGAGGAGATTGTGCTTCCTTCTCCAGTAGAGCATCTGGTAGATTTGAACCTTGTACCTCTGGGATTGCAGTGCAGCTTCTTGCCACTAGGCCACCAGAAAATTTTTTTTTCTATGTGCTGGCAGCTGCTTGAAATAAATTTTCTTCAGTCTAACATAAAAAAAAAAAAAATTTTTTATTAGTCTGATTTATTTACAAGATTTGAATTCATTGCTTTTCACAAAAGATCCTTTCCATTTCCTTCATCCCACCCACCCATCGAATTGTGCAACCTTATGATTAACACCCTGCCCCCCCATCTTCACCTCTCTATTTCTGCCCCTTCCCCCAAAGGACAATATTTATGCTTGAGAAACCATTAAACAGTATAGGGGAATGTAGGGAAAGTGTGATGACATTGTGGACATTTTCACTTATTATAAAACAGAGTATACATGAGTGGGTGGTTGAATGAAAACTTAATTTACTTTGTGAGCTTTCACATAAATAATAATTTAAAAATAATTTTGTGAAGAGGAAAAATTAGAATATTATTTAAATTATTATTTTGTTATTTTTTCTTTTTTCGAATAATTTTTTATTGTGATTTTAACAAAAGTTTACAGAAAACATGTATTTTCATTCATTCATTGTTGCACATTTTCCTCCCTAGACCCCACACCCCAGTTCTCTTTTCTCTTTTTAACTTTATTTTATTAATTTTAATGAACTTTTACAGATTTTGGATTCCATTCATTCATTGTTACACTATTTTATCTACCCTCTTCAGTTCGTTCCTCTCTTTATTACCCCCCTTGAAAATCTGTTTTAATTGTCCCATTGCCACATGCTTGTTTTTAATAAACCCACCTAGTTGCTGTAAGCGAATTTCTACCCATGACGGACCCAAGTGTCAGAATGGAACTGTTTTCAGAAGTGGATCTGAGGCCTTTTCTCTTTATCTCTTTTCAAGGAGGAAAGTCTGTCCCTTTGGGGATGTAACTTTATAATAAATGTATCATTACTGTTTTACCCTTAAAAAAAAAACCAGATCAGAGAAACTCCTGAGTTTTCAGTGGCAGTTCACTAGACTTTTATTCAGGGGTGGATAATAAGGGTACATCTCTGGCTTAATGACACAGAGGTTAAAATTTGTAAATAACATCTGAATTCTTTGCATAATATTAGCCAGTTTATCCTTTATCCTTTCTTAAAATATGTATAGGCAGAATTTACTAATTGCTGAACTTTTGATGTTATGTAGAGCTAGAGCACAGTCTGTAGTCATCCATTGAAATAAGATCCTTACTTGCCTCCAAGTTTGTGACTTAGCTGTACAGTTTACAAAATGGATGATTGATTTCCCAGTTTTATTTTTGACATTTAAAGAACATGAAAATGTTGCTGTTAGATATACTTTTTATAATATAGGCATAAATTTTATTTTATACTGGTTTGCTTCATATACAAAGTTTGTGTACATTGTTTTATACACTATCTTGCTGTTATAGTCATATAAATTTATTTTGGGGACCAATAAATAATTCCTCTTTGCAAAATGTACGACTTCAAATAGATCAAAATCTCGAGACATATTTTTGACAAGAAATCCTTTAAAATAAGACAGTTTTTTAAAATGTAGTTTGTAGATGACTGTGAAATATACAAGAACATATTATAATGTCTTGAAACAGTCTCTTTTGTTGTTTTAGTACAGTTTCTCTTGTAGGTGTTTTAAAAATACAAAAAGGCCTACTTTGAAGTTAGAGTCTTGTTATTTTTTTCTTGTTTTATGTAGAATGTGTTGTTTAATTTTCATCACCTTATCAGTAATGGGGTTGGGGGTGTCAGATGATGATGTTGCCTCAGGATAGAGCAGGGTTCAGAGCTGTTAGACAAAGACTCGACAGCACTTAACAACAATGATTTTATACTTCAGTTACTTCAGTAAAAAGTTTACTTATTTTAAATGGGTCCAATTTCAGATTAACATTTAAAAAATTGAAAATCATAATAACCTTAATGGATCAGCAGAGTTAATTTGTCTTAGAAATGAAAATAAGGTTTCTGCCCCCTTTTTGTATGTGTTTGGTTATGTTTTATTGGAATTTTATTTTATTATCAGTTACCTGCTCAAAAATACAAGTTTTAGGATTACAGCATATGTTTTTCAGAATAAAGTAATTTCTTGGGCTTTTTTGTTTCTATTGTTTAGAATTCGATGACTGCACTTATTGTAGCAGTAAAAGGAGGCTACACACAATCAGTGAAAGAAATTTTGAAGAGGAATCCAAATGTAAATTTAACGGATAAGGATGGAAATACAGCTTTGATGATTGCATCTAAGGAGGGGCACACAGAGATTGTACAGGATCTGCTTGATGCTGGAACATATGTGAACATCCCTGATAGGGTAGGTTACTTTGTCTTCCACTGCTGAAATTGATGATGGATGCTATCACTCTTAACCTGTCTTAAGATTCTTCATACATGAGGCATAAAGTCTTCTATGCTTATTCTGAGGGTTGTTAGTATCAGACATTAAAGTTAATTTTTAAATTTTGAGATAGCTTTTTTCCCAAGTGGTTTCCAGATAGTCAGTTGATGAATAACGTTAATTTCAACACAGTATTTTGAACATTCTTTCTCATCATCACCTTTTATGTTTTGATTTTTGGTTTTAGAGTGGAGATACTGTGTTGATTGGTGCTGTCAGAGGAGGTCATGTTGAAATTGTTCGAGCGCTTCTACAAAAATATGCTGATATAGACATTAGAGGACAGGTAAGTATGATTATAGCACTGTTGTTATCTATACTATCATTGGTTGTCAGTGTTGACTAAACGTTCTTCAAACTTTACTATAAGCCCTTTTTAATTGATGACTATATTCTTGTTAAGTTTCACTGCTGCTGTTATGGATTTTCTATACCAGTGTCAGGTTAGATTTAGGTAAATCATGTACTTTTTTTTTTTAACCCTTCCCAAAGTTATAAAGAGCTTTAAATTTAAACACACACAGCTTGTACCTTGATAGGCACCCCCCCTTTTTTTTTTGGTTAGAGTATATTTCTACTAATTTTTCCTTTTATTTAGCCAAAATTCTCTTGTTTCCAGATCCATTTTTAAATATTTGCCAAATACTGTTAGGAAAATAATATAAAAATATATATTTTTAGTTTGGGAAGTTTTTATAAGCTTAAAATTTGTGTGTTTTGTATAAAAGGAAAAATAAGATTTTTCTTAAACCACAAGATGATATACAGTTGGTTTGTTAGTGAAAGACTTACTTGTAAAAGCCTTGAGATAGGGAGAAAAAGACAAGAAAACTTTGTAGAGAAGGTAGGGTTTCTATTTAGATAAGTGGAGAAGAAGAAAGCTAAGATTTTCAAGAAAGACTATTGGAATAATAGGATGAGAACATTCAAGGAAATGGGAATGTGGAATGCTCTTTTCTGTAGCTGGTGAATACAGTAGGTTGGTGTTAGAGTGGTGAGGGAGTCCTTGTTACCTAGTCCTGCTATAGCAATAATACCACATATAGGTAGGTGGCTTTAGCAAACAGGCATGTCACTTTTAATTGCTCATATTTATAGAAGCATGAAGTCTGAGTTCAAGGCTCTGTCTCTAGGGGAAGGCTTTTCCTCTATATAGGCTCTGGGGAAATATGTTTGTCTTTTAAAAAGCTTCCATCTGTTGGCAGGTTGGTGATCTTCATGTGACGTGACATCTCTTTGTCCCAGCTCTGCTTATTTTCTTTTGTTCCTAAATCTGTTCATTTTATATCTATAAAGTTACTAGTGAGATTAATGCCATCTCTCAGTAACATAACCAAAAACTCATAGACAAAAACCCCAAACGATACATATTTACAGCTCTTGAGTCAGTTCTAGCTCATAACAAGCCCTCCATGAGCCTGTGTGTCTCCTTCCAAGTGATGAGTGGTTTCGTACCTATGACCTTTCAATTAGCAGTCAGACACATAATGCACAGCATCATGAGAGCTTTTCAATGCTAGGATTTACAATGTCTGTTTTTAGTGATCAAATTCAGTCTTTAACTATGTTTTTTTGTTTATTTATTTCATAGGACAATAAAACTGCTTTGTATTGGGCTGTTGAGAAAGGAAATGCAACAATGGTGAGAGATATTTTACAGTGCAATCCGGATACTGAAATATGCACAAAGGTACAAACGGCATATTTATGCTGTGAGCAGTATCTAATGCTTAATATTACCATAGCTTTTCCTCCTCCTTCTCTACCCAATTCTCTTTCATGTTAGACATATTCTGCTTTAACAAGTATCATTTTATTAAACTAAGGAATAAGTCAGGATGACTCCATGACACTCAACAGCCATAAACAAGAAACTTTGTATCCGCTCAAAGAGTTTTGTATTCACATAAAAATATAATGTTTAATTTGTTTCTTCAGCTAAATTCTTTTCAGAAAGTACAATATCAGCTATTCATACATGTGGGCAGATGATTTCCCAGAATTCTTTTATGCTTCTCTGGTTCACAGTGTGGAAATAGTTCCTTTTGGAAGACCATTGTGAGTGGTTGTGAGTTCCCAGACCACCCACTTTGACCTATATTTGTTCATGCTGAATTCTGGATGAAGAGGCATGAATGCTTAAAGGACTAGAGAGGCTCACCCATTAGACAGACTTATTTATTTGCTAGAAATCTGGACCATAATTATAAAACAACAGATATGCCAGTATCCGGAGGTAGAAAATTTCCTGGGAAGTGGTTCTGTGATAACCTTTTCCCTTCTTTTCTTTGGATCCCTATACAAGCTACTGTGGCCACCTATTGCTTCTGAGAAGGTTTAATTTTTTTTCCTAATTCAGTGCTGATTTGTGGTTTATTCTGTTTCCTTTAATTTGATTTTTTAAAATAAAAATAAACTCTTTTGAAGTTTTCCAAAAGAATACTGTTTGTTATCAATTTCCCCCCTGTTTACAAAGGTCATAGTATACTGAAATGATGTTGGTATATGCTTCCAAATAAATTTAAACACCAATTTGCTTGGACATTTAAGAGCTGAACTGTGAGATTTATTGATGAGTTTCAAATAAGTATGTGCCGTGGCCTCTGAAGGTGCTGCCATACATAACTCTGGGGTGGAGCCTGGGAAAAATGTGGTAGGGCATCTGTTAGCAGGCAAGGCTTGTGGATTGCTTGGGCACATTTCATTCTTGAGGGGTAGAAGTAATTTTGACAAATTATTAATTTTGAGAGGAAAGGAACATTTTAGTATTTAAAAATGTGTTTTCTTGAGAACATTATAAATATGACACCTTACTCACTTTCATATATTTAACTTCTCTTTCCATGTGCATTTTATAGGACTGTTAAATGTTTAGAAACCAAGCCGTTAATCTCATGAACTGTCTTCCTATTGCCCACAGGATGGTGAAACACCACTTATAAAAGCTACCAAGATGAGAAATATTGAAGTAGTAGAGCTGCTGCTTGATAAAGGAGCTAAAGTATCTGCTGTAGATAAGGTAAAAACATCTCTTCAGAGAGAATTCTTTCAAAGACTGTTGGCTGATGCACCTATCTAAGGAATTTTATTGTCCTTTTGGAGAGGAGACTAATATGTCCTGGTGATCCCTGGGATCTTAATAGTGTTAGGTCTTCTTGATTACTCAGATAACATGATAAGAAGTAGTCAAGCTGAGTGTGCTTTTTGTAAAAAAAAGGTAATTTTACTTATCTTTTTTGGTGGACTGATGCTCAGTTTTTCTCTAAATGGTCGTTCTCTGCCGTGCTATTAAAGAAGCTGCATCCACTCTGCTCTCTGCCGCTGTCAACAGCTATGAATTGCTCCCATTTTAACCACCATCACCTCATGTATAGAATTTCTTGTAGATAAATAGGGAAGAGTCTGAAGGACTGGAGGAAATGGCCTTTCAAGCCAGAGTAGAACTTAATACTCAGGAACAGGAGATCCCACAGTGGTTAAAGCACGTGGCTGCTGACCAGCAGGTTGATAGTTTGAATCCCTCAGTGGCTCCAAGGAAGAAATATATGTCCATGAAGATGATAACCTCAGAAACCCATGGGACAGATCTGTGGCACAGGGCAAAGGAGTCAGAAGTGATTCGATGGCAGTGGGTTTGATTTTAACATGCGATATAGTGCTCTGCTAAATATTGTCCTATTCTTCTTAAGAACATTTTCATATTTCTAATTTTGAAATGAACTTTAAATTGTTCCATACTTCATGTACGATAGAGCCCTGGTTTTAGATTCTTTTAATTTTAAACAAGGCTATAAGCTGTTTATTTCTTTACTTCAAATTCTGTTCCCTAGATAAAGATGAATTTTATTCATCATTAATATGACAAGTATCATATATTTTCTCTCTGAATATATGACGTAATACGGATTTTTTCTTCATAATAGGTGAGTTTATTTTTGTATTACTTATGAGGCAGTTAAAAAAACAAGGGCATTTTAATAAGCTAGTGGTATATCAGGAAAAAGTATGAGATCAGGTGGTGGAAGTATAATTCTCAGTCCATGGGACAGAGCTGGAGCAGAGATGGAAGGCGCTTTGGGGAAAGAATTAACTAAAATATGAAGCTGGAGACTGTCTTTGACATCCAAAAACCTGTTGCTCTCCAGTTGGAATTGACTCATGGCTGACTCCACAGCGTTTCTGTAAGCTATAATTCACATAGGAGGAGATTGCCCAACTTTCTTCCATGGAACTGCTGGTGGATTTGAAGCACCCCAGAGTCACTGTCTATATGTTATCAGCATGACTCCACATAGACTAACCCAACAGAGCTCCTTTTCTTTGATTGGTGGTGTGTGTGCTGTGGAAGCGACTCATAGCTGACTCTACAGTGCGTTTTCAGAGGCTATAAGATCTTTTGTTCATAGAGTTGCTTTGAATTGTACTCAATTTGAGGGCACCCAACAACAGCAGCAACAACATATGGCACAGGAGGAGATTACTCAGTAGGAAGGAGGAAATAGAGAAGGGAAGTAAGGATGAATGAAGAAACAGAAAGCAAAGTATGATGCTGGTAAGGGATAAGAGAGAGAAGATATAGTAGGCAACCTTTTTGAGAGAAATAAAATTTTAAACAAAGCTATATATGCTTATAGTGAGGAAATATGGATGCAGTTGGTGAGATAAGTATGAAAAAACTTCAAATAGATGATACTTCTTGATGTGCTGTATACAGTTAAGATCAGCTTAATGAAAGGAACTGCTAATAATGAGAAACTTAGAAGATTGAGGTTGAATGGAATATCACCTCAGATTAGCTCAGATTTATTTTTCTAAAAGATACATATACCATATGATTGACCCTGGAGAACTGTGCTGAGTCCTTGTCTCTTGTAGGATAAACTCCATCCTCCTCAGAATGGATACAGCACTGTTTCTTATGGTCAGGGCTCCACCTTGACCGCCTCACTTGCTATCACTTCTATTCCTGCTTCTCTGCATTCCACCTGCATTGAACTATTTACTGTTCTCTGAACATTATTTCATCCCTATTTTTGTAGCACTGTTTTCTCTGCCTTGATATTTCCTTCTTTCCCTTGTCTGCTTGATGAACTCTTTTGAGACCTAGGTAAATGCCATGTTTGTTTATGAAAGATATATACAGTGCCAGGCAGAATTATTCCGGCTCCTGCTTCCTGTACATGCTTTGCTTATATCCCTTAGTATGTTGGTTAGTAATTTTTGTTTTCCTAGCATTTTCCAACTCCAATTTAGCTACCTGAATGCAAAAATTCAAGGAATGAGTCTGTTGATGTTTATAGTGGAAATCATTATTCTTTTTTTTTTTAGAAATGTTCTGTCATCTAACAGTGGGATAAATGAAATTGAATGCAGGGACAAAGAAGGAAAGAACACCCACCAGTGGACAGGAGGCTGTGAGATCAGACTATGGGAGGAACTCTGGCCTGTTGGGGAGGTTGACATTGGGGTAGCTGGTGAAGCCAATTGACGAAAGAAGGTAGTGTTAAGGTAGCTGGAGAGTCTAATGAGGGAGTAAGCTTTGTTATGTCAGGAAGGGCAAGGTAGAAGGGAATAGTGAAATGAAAAGAAAGTTGAAGAGGTTTGTAGAGACAGTAGTGAGAAAAGGGTAAATATAACATAAAGGACTCAATAAAAATGTAGAATGTTGTAGGAACACCATAATGGTCAAAGATCATACACATCATTGAGATCAGTAGTGTGAGATAAGATATCAGCATGGATTTTGAAATTTTCTAGACACAATAAAGAAAGTCATGGAATAAAATACAAATTAGTTGAGGAAGATGGATCCATGCACTGGGATCAATCACAGAGGAAGCCACTGCCTCTTATTTTAATGAGCCAAGGGAAGGAGAATGATTTTTATTCTAGAAGACTGTAAGAAAAATGCTAAATAAGGAACTAGAGGAAGAGGTATTTTAGTTTGTGTATTGTTTTAAATATTTGTGTAACATTACACGGTTCTAGTGCATAGATGAGATTTCCAAGACTCTACATCCTTACAGGAAAAGACTATATCCATCTTTCTCTGAGGAAAGGCTGGTGGATTTGAACTGCTAGCCTTTTGGTTAAGAGCCAGTAGGGCTCCTTATATTACATATTGTTGTTATGTGTTGTTGAGTCGCTTGCAACTCATAGTGACCCTATGTATAAGAGCCCTATACCTTGGTCTACCCTGTGCCAATCTTACTGTCTCTGACACACCTACCCTGATTACCCCAGTCACTGAATCAGTCTGTCTCATCGAGGGTCTTCCTCTCCTGTGCTGTCCCTCCATTCTCCCAAGCATGACATCCCTCTCCAAGATCTGCTCCCTGCTTGCAACATGTCCAAAATATGTCATATTCCCTTAAAATATGAAAAACTTGTGTTTTTTGTTTTGCAGACCATGAACATTATTACTGATAGGTTAAAAAAAAAAGAAAATTTATGTTTTCTCTCATTATTTTACAGAAAGGAGACACTCCTTTGCATATTGCTATTCGTGGGAGGAGTCGGAAACTGGCAGAACTACTTTTAAGAAATCCAAAAGATGGGCGCTTACTTTACAGACCAAACAAAGCAGGCGAGACCCCTTACAATATTGACTGTAGCCATCAGAAAAGTATTTTAACTCAAATATTTGGAGCCCGTAAGTATTGGGTTTATTTATGTCTGAGATATTAATGAATGTTCTCTCGGGAAATACAAGGAAAAAAAAAAAAACAAAACCCTAACATCACTTTGGTGTTTTTCATTTGACTGGAGAATATATGAAGATGGAGGTAGCTATTGTTTTACTGTGAAAAATATTTCTTCCCTGTTTAAAATGATTTTGTATTCTATTATGATTTCTGTTGTATCATGTCCAATCAGTGTTACTAGTTTTTAAAATAGAATTTAACCTGTGTTTCCAAAATTCTTCCTTCTAACATTTTTGCTGTATATTATGCTACTATCAAAATGTACTCTGTTCTGGATATAGCCTAAATTTTTACAATTTTACACCTTTGTTTCTGTTTTGTCCACCACTGCTCATCTTCTGTCTCCTCTCTGCTTGTTAGAACCAGAGCCAGTTTACAAGACTTCTTATCATTTGTTTCTTTCTCAGTAACATTTTAAGGATTATTATTACTTCATATATTTGAATATGTAAAAACTTTGTTAATAGTTTGTGTTTTTATTCTTACTTTAAATGGCCTTTTGTTATATTTTCTACATGAATTTAAAAAAGGAATATATTCATTTTCAGAGGTTAACAGATAGTAGGGTACTATCACTTTCAGATTTACCTTCTTTCTTGTTTTCAATCATAGAATGGATTTTTGTGTTTTAAGATATTTTTTGTGATTTTAAGTAGTATTAATGTACACTCATAAAATTTGAAGAAAGAAAATGTGAATATTGTATAAAGTACAAATTTTCCAATTTTTTTTCTGTAGCTCTCAGTATCGAATGGTTTTAATAAGTTGTTAAATGTCTCATTTAGCCTTATAAAATTCTTTTTAAAATTTTATTTTATTATTTTTTGCGTGTACTGTCAGATCTGACTGGTACAGGAGGAGATTGACCCTCTTTCTCCAGAAGAGCATTTAGGGGAGTCAACCTGCATACCTCTGGGCTTGCAGTGCAGCTTCTTGCCACTAGGCCACCAGAGCGCCTTTGCCTTATAAAAATATTTAATGAATCTGGATATAAACATTTTTAATATAGAGCTAAATCATTTTAATTGTTATATAATCTTTAATTGTAGGTTTTAAGAATGTATTCATTTCTCTGTATTTAGTTTATTTAGTTGTTAAAAATAGTGCTTCAGTGACCATCTTTAGATATTTATCGATCATTTTAATTTTAAGATTATTTTCATGTGATAAATCAAGTCAAGAAATGCTCACAGTTTTTATATATTTTCTAAAATAGAAAACAGACTTCTCCTTTTTTAGATAGTGTCTTGTCTCTACATTTTTCCTAACACTGGGCATTTTTAGCCTTTAGCTTTTGCTAATTATATTAATTTTAATAGTCCCAATTTAATATATATTTGAAAGTTATTAGTGAGATTAAGATCTTTTTAAATGATCATAGACTCTGCCATTCTGTGTATTTTTTCCTAATTTATCTGTTTACCTAAACAGATGTCTTTTTACATAAAGTAGTTTTTAAGTATTTTTTTTAGAGAAATTGTCTGTTTACCTAAAGTGGTTTTTTTTTATTAATTTTAATAGACATTTACAGAGGTTTTGGATTTTCATTCATTCACTGCCACACTTTTCTCCCTGCCCACCCCTCCCCGCCAGTTCGCTCGAAAGTGTTTTTTAAAAAGAAAATTTTTATTTTATACTAATTTGCTTACAAAGTTGGTATACATTGATTTCAAATAAGGAACACTTCATGAATTTGCATGTCATCCTTGCTCTGCGCCCATGCTAATCTCTCTTTATTGTTCCACTTTTTTTTTTTTAATTTTTACTATTTCTTTTTTTGTGTTTACCATCAAATTGGGTCTGACTGGTACAGGAGGAGTTTGCCCCTCCTTCTTCAGCAGAGCATCTGGTGGATTCGAACGATGTATCTCTGTGATTGCAGTGTAGCTTCTTGCCACTAGGCCACCAGAGCACCCTTATCATTCCACTCTTAATATATATTTTGCCCAAGTGAGTGCTGTACTGTATATTTGTCTGCTTTTCCCTCTGGAATTTTTAATACTTGTAGAATTTTTATTTTAGGACTTGTATGTTACTGATATTGATTGTGAGTCCATTTTATAAATCCATCCTCTCGCTTCCTCAGATTTATTCTTTGTGATGGGTTTTAGATCTTCACCCCAAAATGATCCATTTTGTAATTTGTTCTGTCATTCTTTTCCTTTAGTTGTATTTTTCATATTCTATTGAGAAAGAAAGGCCTTCCCATTCAAAGATCTGAAGGTTTTTCCTCTTCGACACTTTTAGTACTTACATGGGTTTTACATTTTTTGTTTAATTTTTTAATGTTTTATAAACTTTAAGGTATGAGATTTGTGGAATTTTATTTTTTAACAGATGGCTACCTTTCCCAGCACCACTTAATTTTCATACTTTCTCCATTGAATTGAAATGCCTTTTCTGCTAATAGGCTACGCCAGTTCTGTGATGTTTTGATTGCTTATGCTTTAGAGTACATTTTGATTTTCCAGAGAAGATGAAATTATCTTTTATTAGTCTTTAAACTCTTTTCTTTGCTATTCTTATTTGCTTTTCATAGTATTTGATTGGTATTACATTAAAATGATAGATTTATTCAGGGAGAATTACTGTCTTTAAATTGTTGGACCTTTCTATGTAGAATATAGAATATCTCTTTTTCTGGTCATCTGTTACATTCTGCAATAACATTTTATAACTTTCTTTGTGTAATTCTTGCATGTAATAAATTTATTTGTATGTGCTGTTTTAGGTTTTAATCCCCATATTTCACTGATTCTAAATTGCATACTGTTACACATTTAAACATTTCTGAAATTGGAATGTGATGTACAGTTGCTGGATTAGGGAGGACATATATACATAGTTCGTTGGCAGTTGTGATTATAATTATGATCCATCTTATAATCAAATAGTGTCGTAAGCTGAATTATAGTATTAATCTAAGAATCTCTGTACCTATTTTTACAAAGAACTAAACACTTTTTTCTCTCTCTTTTTTTTTTTTTCTGTTTTGCGATTTTATTGGATCATCTTGACACAAAATCATTACAGCAGCGTGATATGTCTGTCTTCTGTATTTTCTCTCTTTTTTTAATAATTGCCAAATAAAAGAGTTAGTACTGCTTTCTAATAATAATGCCACATTGTAATGTAAATATATGGTGTGTTTATAATTGCAGGACACTTATCTCCTACTGAAACAGATGGTGACATGCTTGGTTATGATTTATATAGCAGTGCGCTGGCAGATATTCTCAGTGAACCTACCATGCAGCCACCCATTTGTGTGGGCTTATATGCACAATGGGGAAGTGGGAAATCTTTCTTACTCAAGAAACTAGAAGGTAAAGCGTGTGTTTGTAGAAAGTCCATTATATGTTGTTGCTCTTTGTTCTCAAGTTGGAACTGACTCATAGCTGACGCTATAGTGGGTTTTTCAGAGGTTATAAATTTCATGGGAGGAATTTTCTTGTGGATCAGCTGGTGATTCAAACTGCCTTTTCACTAAGCCATCAGAGCTCCCTAAGACATGTAAAAACAAAGAGTTTTATGTATCGTATGTGCGTTGTGCAATGTACTAAAATACATTTTGTTGAATCTTTGCTTCTCTAGTTGTGCTCTGTACAATCACTTGAACACTTTTTCTAAATCACAAATTCATTTATGTCACAACACCACTTAAAACCTTTTGGGAGCAGATTGTTCTGTATGTGCTACTTCTACTTATAATCATTGTATTCAGGGCTGCCGTTAATGAATGTTAAATGAATATATTCATTTGTATGATCAAATCCTCTAGCATGATCTCTTGTGTGTACTGTATGTTTCAATCAATCACATAGAACTCATCCCTTGAACAAGTACTTTTTTTTACTTGTTCTTTCTGACTCACTTTCTAGACAGATCTTTCCCTGAATTTCTCATCCTATATACACACCTTTTACTTAATGAAATCTAACTCATTCTTCCAGATTTTAAAAAAATTCCACAGGTATTTTTTGTAAAGAAAGAATTACTTGTTTAAAACTCATTTGGCTAAGTGCTTACCCTATTCACTTACTCTCAAAAATGTTGGAGGGGAGGAGGTGAAGAGAAGAACCAAACAGTGGTGAAAGTAAGATAAATAAAATCATTCTTTTCATTGTTGGCTATACAAACAGTACTCTACTGCTTGTGTAACCAAACTACAAAAAATCAATACTTAGAAAAGGGTTTTATATATTCTGAATGTGAAAAAGGAAAATAGGTAAAACAAAAATAGGTAAGCCTCTGAGGAATGAGATTTTATGCTTATCAAAAGACATTGCTTCAAATAGTTGAGTAGCATCACTCTGGGTACTTGGTAAAACTCTGCGTTGCTGTCTATGCCAAGGCATAGCTGACCCTCCAGCGAGTTGTTAGAGGTTGTAAATCATACAAGAGGAGATTTCCCATCTTTCTCCCTCAGAGCTGTTAATTGATTCAAACTGGCAGAGAGAAATACCTTCTGTCTAGAGAGCAGAAAATGGGACATGGAGTCACAGGGCTGTGTGTGTCTCTCAGAAAAGGCCAGACGGAGTGAGAATATGACAGCCCCTTGCCAGCCCAGAGAAAAAGCAGATAAAGAGCTTGTAGCCCAGCCCCGTGGTGCTTCTAGAGCCACACCAGCAGCAGTTCGATAGTCATTTTTCATTCACATACTTTACTCACATTAGTGTTTCCAAGAGTGGGGTTTTTTAGGGACATAAGATGGAGAGTAGGGGAGGCAAAGCATATCACCCAATACACATCCAAATTTTAGTGCAACAGTCCCAAGTGACATTAACAGCAAAACACAGTTCCTTAAAAACAAAATAAAAAACCAAAACCCACAATTCCTTAGTTAGTGAAAGTCCCAATTCAGTTCAGCAACACAAATTCAAGAAGCTTCTCATTTCTTCAACCATCCAGGAAGAATAACACAACCTTTAACTATGGACCTTAACTCAGTGTTCCTCTGCGTACACCTTGCCAAAGTTTCTTCACAGCAGTGCCACAGTCTCTCCATCACCTTCACCAGTCTCAATACCAGGGTCTCACTCTCAACCAGGGTCTTGCACCAGTCTCACTCAAGTTTTGCCACCCAGTATGGGAAATACTCTGCCTCTTATCCTACTCCTGTAACTGTTGATGATTTACAAGGCCTGTGTCTGCAATTAAGATAACTAGAGACCAGAGGGGCTAAGGTAATGGCTAAAAATTAGAAATGTGACTCTTGACCCACTAGGCCACTAGAAGTGCCTAGTAAATGTTTGGTAAATGTGAAAAATAAAATAAAAAAAATAGAAAATTTGTAATAATAAATAATAATAAGTTTTACTACTCAAAATACTGATAAGATTTTTCATCAATATCTCTTTCAGATGAAATGAAGACTTTTGCAGGACAACAGATTGAACCTCTTTTCCAATTTTCATGGCTTATAGTATTTCTTACCCTGCTACTCTGTGGAGGGTTTGGTTTATTGTTTGCTTTTACTGTCGACACAAATCTTGGAATAGCAGTGTCATTGAGCCTGTTGGCTATCTTATATATATTCTTTAGTAAGTTTTGACTTTTTAAAAAATATATATCTAAAAATGCTCAAACTCAGTTGTTTTACTTAAAATATATCTGTATTTGTCTATTGAAACCTGTAAGTGATTTTCACATTTGGATGAGAAAGTTGATTTTTTGTGATATTTTGTGAATGGGCATAGGGAAACTTTGTCCACAACCAATATGCAGAAGTTGTGAAAAAAAAAAAATAGCCTACAAAACTAGTTAGATATATTTAAGCAGAACTATTTAACTCATGACAGTTATCTTATTGTTTATTAATTAATGGTTTACATTTAAATATATTCTGAAACTAAGGCATCACGCTATTAGGTGTGTGCTCTTGCCTTGAGTTAGGAGATAATTAAGCATTTTAATTGTGAAGTAGGGTGGAATTTTTTTTTAAATCTAAAAGCAAAGTAGAAAAAAGCTAATTCTTGTTCTTGAGGTTATCTTCAGTTGAAGGAAAGAAAATAGATTATTTGGACTATCTGAAGACTTTAGAGAATCAATATTTTTAATGATCTTTTTCTGTTTAAGACAAATTGTGTGTCTCTGATTCTTAGGTTCTATTTCAGTCAGTTTATTTTCCCTTTTTTTACATAAACCTCTGTATGTTGAGGGAATTTAAGTAATTGAGGAATTCTTTGAATAAAAGGAAATCATAAGGGACCATGAAAAATTATTCAAGACTACTTATTTCTAATATTTGACTGCTAGAAATATTGTTTTTACATAAATATAGCTGTTTAACTAATAATTTTCCTGGATTTTTTTCTTAACTGTGCATTTCAGTTGTGATTTATTTTGGTGGACGAAGGGAGGGAGAGAGTTGGAACTGGGCATGGGTCCTCAGTACTAGATTGGCAAGACATCTTGGATACTTGGAACTCCTCCTCAAGCTGATGTTTGTGAACCCACCGGAACTGCCTGAACAGACTACTAAGGCTTTACCTGTGAGGTGAGTTTCATTCTTTGGAGAACGTAATCTCTAATAATGTGAAGAAAATGACTTCACTTAATAAAGTTTTAATGCATAACTTCTCAGTATAAAAGAAAATTGATCCCTTAAATTTTTTATGTTCAAAAAGAATGTTTTGGTGAAGTAAGTTTGAGAACTATTCCATATTTTATCTCCTTGCACATTATAGAGCCAGAGACGCTTCCATGAAGAAACCTATTTAACCTTGATTTGCCAAACTTTATTTTACCAGGAATATATGAAAAAAATATATATTTATTATTTTTTTTTAACTGCTGCCTTTATTACTTACCCTTTGGAACATCTGTGGAGAGAGCATTATAGCACCAAGCTTGATTCTTTAAGGAATCTTGGTACTGCCTCATCTTAGTGTATAACTTTGGGCAGGCAGCTCAGCTGACTTCTCTGACCTGCTATTTGTAGAAAGACATTTACTTGCCTATGTAAAATTATTATTAAGGTAAAATATTAAATATGTTAGAAAAATTTAAGTCCCGTAATAAAGGAAACGTAGGTAAAAAGCTCCAGGGGGGGAAAAATAATGGAAGAAAAAGGAATGATGAGAAAATTAAATGTAAAATAAATAATTGTTAGTAAAATAATGAAAAAGTCCAAAGGAGCTCTGGCCTAATGGCAAAAAGCTTCAGTGCAGTCCCAGAGGTGAGTGATTCGAATCCACCAGATGCTCTGCTGGAGAAGGAGGGACAATCTCCTCCTGTACCAGTCAGATCCAATTTGATGGTACACACACAAAATAATAATAATAATAAAGTTCTTAAAATTATTTTAAAAAAGGAATTAAAAAGTCATTGAAAGATTGAGATTTAAAAATTCTTAATAAGTGAAAAGGAAAGAGAATAAATCAAATAATAGAAAAATATTAACACAACGAATGTAAGAGGAAAAACTAACGTAACTCTGTAAGTAATTAGTATTTAGGATTAAGTATTAAGGAAAAGATTTAAAATAAGAATTTGAAATAAAAGTTAAAGCTTATAGAGTAGGATAAAATAATTTTAGAAAGTATTTTTAAGACAACAAAAATATAAATTAATAATATTGTTAACAAGTAGAGAAGTTATAGTAGCATAAGTTAAAATCACACAGAATAGAACAGCATGGTCCCAGAGTGTATTTTAAAAGGAATGCTTCCCTACTTCATTGATGGAGGAGTTTAGTTTACAGATGAAAGGGAGAAAGTAATGCAACAAAGGTAATAGAGAGTCAGAAGTACAAATGTTTGTTATTTCTGAGAGTAATTGAAAAAAAGAATTAAAAAACATGCCTCTAAATTCCTGGTAGATGTTTCAGATAAAAAGAAAGTAATATATTTTAAAACTTGTGTTCTTAAATGGCATTATTGGTCTTGAAATTCTTAATGACTCTACTGTTTTTCAAGTCCCAATTTCTTCACTTGGTACTTAGAAAGCTCTCCATACAGTATTTCAAAAATGATAAAGAAAACATAGGGTACAATGATAAAGATGTTTCATATGTTAAACTTGTTACTTTAGGTAATATCTTATTTGATCTTTTCCCCCCAAGGTTTTTGTTTACAGATTACAATCGGCTGTCCAGTGTAGGTGGAGAAACATCAATGGCTGAAATGATTGCTACCCTCTCTGATGCCTGTGAAAGAGAGTTCGGCTTTTTGGCAACAAGGCTTTTTCGAGTATTCAAGACTGAAGATACACAAGGTATGATTTCCTTCCCATTGGTGTAAGGCTTGAGAATAGTATGAAAGTTCAAATTGAATTTAATTTCTGCTTATTTTCATGAAAGCAAAGCATGTATTGAACATCAGATTTATCACAGCTGTAACTGTAGTGATTAAGATTTTTCCAGATACTTGCTATGCGAATAATTGTTAAAATTAATTTATTGCAGGTAAAAAGAAATGGAAGAAAACATGTTGTCTCCCATCATTTGTCATCTTCGTTTTTCTCTTTGTCTGCATTATTGCTGGGATTACTCTTCTGGCTATATTCAGAGTTGACTCAAAGCATCTGACAGTGAATGCGGTTCTGATAGCTATAGCATCTGTAGTAGGGTTGGCTTTTGTGTTGAACTGCCGTACTTGGTGGCAAGTGCTGGACTCGCTCCTCAATTCTCAAAGAAAGCGCCTTCATAATGCAGCCTCCAAACTGCACAAACTAAAAAGTGAAGGATTCATGAAGGTAAGCATTCATAGAGTTATTAGAATATGATTGTTGTATCAATGTGCTACTCATGACCATAATCTTTTGGGCTTTAGGGCATGTACTCTGTAAATTAAAGGTGTTACATTAATTTTAATTTTCTTTTCTAAAAGTGATTCATAGAAGGACATGTTAAAAAAAAACAAAATAAAACACACTTAAAGACTTTACCAGATTTTTCCCTAGGAAGTAAGTGGTGTTAGCTAACAAGTTGGCCCTTGATCATGGTAATTCCATGCAGACTGAAATGCTGCCTGTTGGTACTGCACCATCCAGTGATGTGTTTTGAATCAGATCATTGCATGTAAGATTTTTTCCAGTGGTTCTTTTACTCTAAATAGATTGCCAAGCTTTTCTTCTTTTTTTTAATTTTATTTTTATTATTAAATTTTATTAGTTTTAATGAACATTTACAGGGATT